AGTGTAATAGAGCTTCAGTATTTTGATTTAACATTGTCTCACACATATTAAAATACCCCCATTCACCAGTTTTCCAGGTTTTGGTTTGGGAAACCACAGGGTCAAATATATTAGATGGAAATTTGACAAAGGGATTTCCATGGCCTATGTTGCCTTTGAGAGAGTATGGCAGCCGGGTTAATAACTTTTCCACCATTATGGCACAACGTTTTCAAAAGCAATCCATAGTATTCCAAATGTGACAATGAGATTTTCTGAGCCTATGTCTCCTTTGAGACAGTATGGCAGCTCAGAAAAGAAAATAATGATGGCATATCATTTTTGCAAGTAGGCAACCCAGGGTATTCCAGATAGTGTATTTTGAATTGTTTGGTCTTGCCACTTAATCATAAATGTTGGCCAAATGTAGCAGTTATACTTTTATTTGTGGGTTTTTTCAACCACATTTTCCATAATCCTGATAAGTCTTATCGCAATAAAGTCTCAATAATTTTATATAACATTATCTCACAGACATAACAGTGCCACCTGGAACTAACTTTCCAGGTTTTTTGATAAGTCACAGGACCAAACATGTTAGGTGATTTTATGGGCCTATGTCACCTTTGAGGCAGTATGGGAGCACAGGAAGAAAAATAAAACCCATGATGGCATATATTTTTAAAAGTAGGCATCCCATGGTATTACATATGTGGTATTTTGAGTTGTTTGTCTTCATGGCTGAGCGTAAGAAAAACAGGGACAGGCCAAGGAAAAAGAGGGCAGGTAGAATTGGGTGTTATGCCAGTAACTCCTAACACTGTTTTTATTTTCACAAAAAAAAAATACTTCATTATTGGCATCAGCGCCTGAAACCTACTCATTTCAGTGTTGTCGGTTAGAATGCCACATGTTTTTCCTGCTATAGTGAGAATCAAGATTGGTAGTGAGATATTGGTTGGCATTCAAATTAGTTTGCAAAGTCATGAGATCAAACATGCCATCCATCATAAACAGGCTAAAATACTTTTCTGGCTCACAATTCTCAACTCTAGTTGTGATACCAAGCGCTGCCAATAATTGGTGGTACCCAATTATGCTCAGACAGAGTTCTGAGCTCCTCCTGGATGCTGTTATGGTGGAAGCATATCCATCACAGGAAGTGTCTCACCATCAGACAGGTCAAAGGAGTTGCTCTCCTCTGAATCACTTGTCAACATGGAGTATACCTCCTCTGCTATGTAGTAACAAGCCATGGCACTTTTTAAAACAAAATAATTTTTTACCTTCGTGCCTAACACACATTCCCTCAACCCACCCCCAATTCCCACTTCTACCCACAGAACCCTATACCCAAAACACAAAAACAAAAATTACAGAGTAATCGCAGTATAACACTGTGATCAGCACTAACAGGTTAAAACGCTGCGATCAGCACTAAATGTCAATAATCTCAAGAAGAGAGATTTATTTGCTGTTTAAAATAATATCACATACTAAATTGTGTCAATACGAAGTAGAACAAATGTAATCTATTCCCAGACCCCACAAGCCATGATCTGAAATTTGGTTATGTATAAATGTATAAATACATCTAAAACCCATAAGATAAGGGGTATGGGAATAGGCAAAGAGTCCCCTTTATAGTTTATCAATCAGTGCAATATTTAGTTGATAGGTGCCCTCAAAGGCCCTTCAGTCTAGCTTCCTCCCCCTTCAGTCTGGCTTCTGCCCTCTCCACTCTACTGAGACTGTTCTTATCAAAGTTACTAATGACCTCTCTCCTTGACCTCTCTGCTGCCTTTGACACCGTTGATCATGCTCTTCTCCTTCAAACTCTTCAATCGCTCGGTCTCTGTGACTATGTCCTCTCATGTTTTTCCTCTTCTCTCTCAACGTTCATTCAGTGACTCCTTTTCCAAGGATACCTCCTACCCTTGTCCTGTATCAGTTGGAGTTCCCCAAGGCTCTGTCCTTGATCCTCTTCTATTTTGTCTTTATACTGCCTCTCTTGGCAAACTTATTAACTCTTTTTGATTCCACTACCACCTGTATGCTGATGACACTCATATATACCTCTCCTCCCCAGACATCTCCCCTGCCGTCCTGCAGCGTGTCACTGCTTGCCTTTCTTCCATCTCTGACTGGATGTCCTCGCGCTTTCTGAAACTCAATATCTCTAAAACTGAACTCCTTGTCTTTCCTCCTCCAAATACTGATCCTCCTCTCTCGCTTTCCTTCCAAGTCAGTGATATCCACATAAACCCATCCTTGCAAGCACGTTTTCTTGGCATCATACATGACTCTGGCCTCACCTTTGAGCCTCACATCCAGTTTGTTACCAAATCCTGTAGATACCAACTTAAAAATATAGCCCGCATCTGCCCCTTTCTTACACAAGGTGCTACCAAGGAGCTTGTCCATGCTCTAGTAATTTCCCTCATGAATTATTGTAACCCTCTCCTGGTCTCCCCAAAAGCCGTATTGCCCCGCTACAGTCTGTAATGAATGCCGCCGCCAGACTTATTTTCCTCTCTAGTCGGTCCTCTCACACCTCACCCCTCTGCCAGTCCTTACTTTGGCTCCTATAGGAGTCAATTCAAAGTGCTAACCCATACATTTAAAGCAGTGAACAATTCTAGCCCTCTCTTCACAGATCCAATGGTATTCCCCCTCCTCGTTCCCTCTGCTCTGCCCGTGACCACCTCCTGACCGCTGCTCGCGCCCGTACGGCCAACTCGTGCTTGCAGGACTTCTCGCGGGTGACTCCTTTCCTATTAAATAGCCTGCCTATCCCCATCAGACTTTCCCCTAGTCTTCAATCCTTTAAGAAGTGCCTTAAAACCCATCTCTTTAGGAAAGCTTATGGCCTCCCAGAGTAACCTCTATCTTACATACCTGTCTCTTGCTCTCTCCTATAGGGCAGTTCTCTACTCTCTCCTCCAGCTCTGCTTCACTCCCACCCTATTTGATTTATATTTCCTGTCCTAATGTGTCTTATACCCCTATAGTCTGTAAGCTCGTTTGAGCAGGGTCCTCTTCAACCTATTATTCCTGTAAGTTTTCTTGTAATTGTCCTATTCATAGTTACATCCCCACTCTCATAATATTGTAAAGCACTACGGAATATGTTGGCGCTATATAAATGGCATTAATAATAATAATAATAATAAGGGAGTGCTCAGGCTTTTTGTGTACTACTGATATTCACAATTAATCTTCATAGGGAAATACTAATCTTTTGTATTTCTGAGTTCTATCCTTACTTTTACGGCATCTTTTGCAATCAGCTTTTGACTTTTTAATAACTATTTTATTTTCATGTAAGTTGTTAAGATGTTATGCACCAAAAGTTGTTCTTACGTTTTACATTTCTATGGCAACTATATTCTCTTGGATCTAGGCAGTTGTTACTTCGTTTCAGGTGACACTTATTTACAATAGCTTCAAGAAACTCTCTCTGTGCTGTGTTGAGCTTGTAAATAGTACTTGAATTTTTAGTGCACAATTCTAGCTGTTTATTTTTACATATTTTTAATAATGTAGAATAATAAAAGTTAAGTTTACATGTGACAATTTACTGAGAAACCACTCTTTTTTCATCTTGTGGTATGGTTTGACAAGTTACCTGGGCCCCCACCGGGAGCCCATGTCCATATCCCATGCATCTGCTCTTCTCCTGGACAATCCCAAGTCCAACACAGAGCAAGGCAGAGACATGCAGGACTGTGCTTATTGGCTGAGAGTGTCAGCTGAGCAAATTTTAGAAAATAAGAATTTTCAATAAATTTATGCAAAGGGCTCCTATTATGCCCATTTTTTCATCCTCTCTCAAAATTCAAAGGTGGGAGTCCACCAGTTGGTAGACCAATAGTTTCTGGTATTTGATCATTGAATTAAGGTCTGTCAGATGTAATAGGTTTTTTTGTTACAATTCTTAGTTTTAGCCCCTTAAGGACCACACTTCTGGAATAAAAGGGAATCATGACATGTCACACATGTCATGTGTCCTTAAGGGGTTAAGGTTGTATTGTTATCTTAGGGACACAAAACATTTATTTAATTCACTGCAGTCATTTAAATGTCAGGTTAACTATGAGTGGTTATCAATAGATGTATGATCTATTCAGTCATACCGCATGATTTAAGTCTTATAGTGACTGAATACCATCTTGATCAGTACAGTGGTTATATGGAGTCTACAAAATATCTTTTAGACTTCTTTTTTTAGCTTCAATTGTGATGTGTTTATCTCCATAAACGTGGGACCTTGATGGGAGAAAATTTACCAGATATGCCAACTTCTCATTGGGTGATGGGAAGATTCCCACATTTTTGACGATCTTTTTTGTAACCATATACACTTCTATAGGCACTATATTGACAGTCTGCTTTTTTTATGGGGTGGTTCTTTGATTTTCTTAATGATAATAGCGTCAATCTTAAGTTTATATTGGTAAGTGATTGTAGAATTCATTTAATATGGATGTGAAATTAACCGTTGATGCGGACAATAAAGTGAAGTCCCAAACTTATAGGAAGAGTGTGAATGTTAACTCTGTATTAAAGGCGGATAGGGATTATCCATATCACTTAATAAAAAATGTCCCTCTGATATAGAATGGCCAAACGTTGTCCCCCAGTCTTTTTGTGAGTGATTATATAGGAAAACTATCCTGATTAAAATACTCAGTGAACTAAAAAATGTGATGTGAACCGCTGCAAATATTTCAGTTTTGAAAATATAAGTGATAGCGTTACGCCATTCGCCACAGAGAAGACATATAAAATACCATCACTAATTAATTGTAATATGAAATCAGTAGTGTATTTATTATCCTGTGCTTTTTGCAAATTCAATATATTGGTAAAACTGAACACAAGTTAAAAGAAAGAATAAGGAAACATTTAAACAACACAGAAAATGGGAATATAAAACCAAGTGTGACCCAATGAGGATCCTGGAAGAAGTAACATTTTTTTGCATTCCTGTGTATTGAAAGAGTCATTATACCTTTAAGCGGGGATAATCTTTTTCCAATGGTTTAAATATGGGGTGGGAAGTGCCATATCTTTATTGAGTCTTTCCTCCCTTATAATTTGTTACATATGATATAACATGGTGTTTCATTATTTGGTTCTACATATTTAATTGAGATGGGTATTGGTGTGGTGTAGGATGTATTTATTTATACCTTATCTGCCCTTGGCTTAACGTTTGCATCATGACTAATGTATACCCACATCAACCTTTCACTTTAGTAGATGGGTTGTTATGATTAACTTGTGTCTTACCACATATTGTTGTATCTAACATTCAGCAAACATTGTGAGTTAATGATGGTTTGAGAAAAAAGTGATTAGAATTGTGGCGAAACCGGCCTCGCCACGTGTCCTTGGAGGGGGCTGCTTGCCCGCCTCTTGCCTTTGGACTATGGACCAGACTTTATGTGAATGTGTTAACCCAGATAGCTATGCCATGGAGCCCATTCGTGTAGTTAAAGACTTCGGCTCCATGGCAATTGAACTGTGTGAATAGGATCTGAGTGCTCTTCGGTAGTTTTGTGCGCTCAGATCCCAGCTATCTGGGGATATGTGAAATGTCTGTGTGTTATGTGTAAAAGGTGACTTTATGTATTTTCAAGTGTTTTATGTCTTTTTGCAACCATGTGCTCAATGGAATCTTCCTCTATCCCTGGATAATTGGATTACTTTCCCCCATTGTCTCCAGGATAGAGGGCTCTGTAAAACCGGTTTGAGCAAGATAGCCATGTGCCAGCCAGGGCCCAAAAGATACTTTTACTAACTTTTGAACCCCTGGTCGGATTCATGCCATTTTTTAATATGTTGTTCCCCTGAATGGATTGATTGTGAATATGTAATTTTATGTGAATGTGATGTATGGTTTTAAAGTTATGAAAGTTGGGTAGAAAGTATGTTTTAACTGTATGTGTAATTGAGTTTCCTCTCAGGATAAGGGGAGGGAATATGTGGGATGTAACTGATATGTGATTGGTTGTTTTATACCTCCCTGTGGGCGGTCCTCTATGTGAAAGACTGTAATAAAAACCAGGCTGGGTGTGCCAGCACGAGAGTTCCTGCTTAACCCTCAAAGTGAAGTGTCGTCTCATTATTGGGGGAGGATTTATTGTATGCTGTTCCAGTTTGACTGCTAGGAGTGTAAACCTATTCGCATGGTTTTTCCTATTCGGCTGTCTACAACATTCATACGCTTGAGAGCATTCATATGCTCCTACGGTTCGGTGGTTTTGGTGTCTGGTACAGTGCTTGGAGTCCTCAGGAAGTGCTAGGAGCATCCTTCAACAGAGGTACCCAGTCGGGGTGCCAGGTGATCCGTTACAAGAATGTTGAAATCCTAGTGATTATGTTAGCATGTAACCCCTGAATTTTAACTTATTAGGGTGATGTTTTTGTTAATGTGTACATTTTTAATGTGTGCAGATTTTGTGTGTATCCTTTAGGTACATTCTCTCCTATATATATTTTTTTTTATGAATTGAGAATTTATGTATGTGTTTTTCTTGCATAGGTTGTCTTTTGTGACTGGGCACCATGACTATGCCAAGGTTATTATGACGTGATTAGTCCATTGTGGGTTTCCGTACAGTAACTAGCCCAGTTCATCAGATGGTTAATATGGCAATTAAGTCTTAGCTATAAAATCCTGCCACATTTTAACTTATGTGATCTTGAAATACAGTTAATATTAAATGAGTTGATTTCCATCTTACAGAGGCTATCTCCAATGTTTATGAGTCAATAAGCCCATTACCATTTGCATGATGTGAAGAATTGTTTTTAATCTACTGAAATAAAGGAAATGTTTTTGAATACCAGCAACAGAACTCTTTTGATTATGGGCCACTACCTGCTTATTTTTGTCTAGAGGATAGTAGAGCAATGCAGAACTGTGCTCATTTGATGAAAGTGCCAGGACATAGATCACTTTCAAAATACAATTAAACAGTTTGACTACTTACTGTGGAATGATGAAAAGGCACTCTTAGGACCATAATCACTATATTAGGTTAGAGTCATAATGGTCCTTGGAGTCGTCCTTTAAACTAGTGATGGTTTACAAACGAACCCAGTATTTAGTATGGTAAGTGCATTCCATCTAAGCTTCTATACCATTTCCTCCATTTAACATAACTAACATGATTCATGATTATTTTGATTGACATACACACAACTCCAACTTAAAAAAAATCAGTCTTTTCTTTACAGTTTTATTTACAAAAATGTATTAAAACTTTGTACATGCCTCATTTAAATGAGGCCTGGTAATCTGTCCACACATGCAGTTATTTTTTTCTTTTTCTTTACAGCCGTAAGTTTGCTTGGCAATTTTACTGCTTATCAGTCTGCAGTTAGAAATAAATCCAAAAAAAAAAAAAAAGAAATTACAAAAAAAAAATAAAAAAAAATATTCTACTGCTGACCATTTGCAGTTTTAGCAGGAAATTGTAAGCAATCAATATTTTACATGCATTTTGTTTTGTTAAAAAATACCGAACATCCTTGCTTCTGTACGAAGCTCACACTCTTAAAAATTAACGTCATTCAATAAACTTATATTTTTACCCCATTCTTTGACAGATGTTGCCATGATGCAATGGTCTTTTGGCCCCATTATCTCAGAATGGTTTAAAATTACATCTAGGAAAAATCTCTTTTTTTTTTTTAGTAATTTTATGCACAGCTCATATTTCCCATATTGGGATATTAATAGCATTAAGACCTTGAAAATAAAAAATCACAGTTCCATTATTAGAAGGTCTCATTTCTCAGCCAGTGTCCACTAATAATTCTCAAAAGTCTCTGCTCTATAATGTGCTGCCAGCTGAGAAAGTATGAGATCAGAAGGCCTTTCTTCATAGTCTTTTGGAAATATAGTACATTACATATCTGTGTTTTTGTAACAAGACAACTACTATGTATCCTGTGTTTAATGGAGCTGATTGGACTTTATGATTTTGGTGCTTGTGGGTCTATATTTCTCATGATAAATGTGCTCGGAGGACTTGCGCTACACAGGTTACTTAGATATCAACTTGTGAAGATGCTTGATTATGGTCAATTTTACAACGTATGCCTATGTACATGTAAGGTCCATGACTTTGGGACACTTGACTATAAATCAGAGGCCATGAGAGAATATGGTAAACAATATCAAGAGGTCTATTAAGTAGAGGTATCAAAGCTACAGAGTCTAAGCCCTGGAGATGAGAGCAAAGTATATAAAGGAAAAAATGAAGGTGTGAGTAATATACAACACAGGGGTAAGGCAAATATAGCATAGTGTGTAAGAATTTCCTGCGGGCTAACAAATAATACATTTTAGAATAAAAAAAATAAAAATTAAGTTCTAGACACACTAGTTACTAGAGACCGACTTAATGTAAATACATTTATAGCACAACACCAAGCAAATATTTATCTTAGAATCTTAATCAGTTTGACATATCCCAGGTGTGCTACAATTTTTTTCGGTGCGTTACATTGTCATCATGCTATAACAATGTAACCATCTGGTAATAAAACAAGAAATATAGCTGGTTGTTAACAATGAGTGTTCAAGAACTATCCCCTACTGTGCATCATCTGTTTTGAGAGTGTATCATTTGTATTTGGCAGATTGGAATTCGGAATGGTTATGAAATTTTATTTTAAAATCTAACATTGTAGAAAGTGGAACCTTGTGTGTAATGTAAGATATGTTAACCTTTACATGATTCTAAATGTAGAGTTATGGAAATGAGTGGAGGTATATTAACTTGTAAGTACCTGACCACTAGTTTATCCAAAGTAGCTTGGTGTTACCTAAAATGAGTGATTATGGATACAACTAAAGTAATGGCTTTAAATATTCTACATGAACCTACAGTATTAATCAGTTATACTTCTCGCACTGTATGCTAAATGAAAAGATGAATTTTGGGTATTCACTGTTACTGGGACATACATGTCTTGGACTTCCTGAGAATTGCCAGAGTTACAATTTAATTGAATCAGCTCGGGAGAAGACTGAATTAAAGTGGAATCAGCAGCATAACGAACCTGTAATTCGGTAATTGAACTCCTCTAATTTCAGGTAGTCAAGGAAAACCAAGTTCTAGCAGTGCTCTGAGATTCAGAACCCTGCACTGTATGGTTGTAGTCCAACTGTTTATTACCGGGAATATTGCATGGATGACATCACTCACCATGCAGTATGGGTTTTTAAAACATGGTCTCACTAAAATAATCTAAACCAGTTACCCATCAATCTAAACCATTTACCCATCAATCTAATCTAATTGTGCAAAATGTAGAATATCAAAATATTAATTTAAAAATACTTGCTAACCTATACATTTATTAGTGGCTTGGCTTGCACGTTGTATAGAGAAATAGATTGAAATTGATGTTCTGCAATATATTTCATAACAAGTGTTCCTTTAGCACTCTGTTGTATAGAGTATAGTAATTATCAATTAAATTAAAATGTTTATGAGATATTGATTTTTAAAGAAGTGCTTGATCTGCCAAGTTTAAAACTATCAGGGAAGTCAGCGTTATTTTCTAGAAATAATGACTCGCTTTAGCTTTCATGCAGATAGGAGCTACACAATATGCCTACTAATAAATGATTGTAGAATTAAATATATAATCCACCTCTTTCTTATACGGAATAATGTTACACAGATAATCCTGCTTCAAATAAATGTGAGTTTAGAATTAGGTTCTGGATCTAGAACATCACTTGATAAATTAACTCTGAAGCATGTGCTAGAAGGTTATAATGAACTAAACAGCAATATTAATTTACTAAGCAAGAAAATAGCTAGCCATCGCGTCACGGTTCACTACAGAACCCATTCTGCTCTGTGGGTTCATGATACATTGGTTACCCCAAGATATCTGTTATCTGATCTTTTGGGAACTTGCAGGCACACTGACTAAAGATGGCTGCTTGGTGAAGTTCTACAAGAAAAGTAATAGTACAGTGAAGTTTAAGGTTAGGGTGTTCACTTCTACAGAAAGAGTTAGGATATTCTGGCTCAAAGTTAGGGTTTAAATTAGGTTTGGTGTTTGAGATTACATTTGGGCATTCATGAAATTTGGGCTTAGAGTTATAATTACAACACTGTCTGTGACTAACTTAAGTAATATATTTAAAGTTAGAATATGAGTTGAGGATAGGCCAAACTAGCCCCTAACCCTGATTTTAACCATTACGTCAATAGTACATTTCCCACCTATTTCCCCCCTGTTCTACGCAATGTCTTCCTTACCCCTAAACCTCACGATAACTCTAACTATATTTTTTCATAATTCTATGTGTACCGTTCATTAGGAATACATAACATTATGCTATTTATCTGTGAGTATTTACCTCTCACTAATAATTTGTTTCCTTTCTTTGATAATATACTGATGCATACTGTAGTAATGCATTGTACAAAATACAGGAGAGGAAAATTAATTTAGAAGCAGAAAAAAACAACAACAATTTTTAATTAGGTGAAATGATACAAGGATCAGAAAACTAGCTCAGAATTCAAAAATTCACGATATTTTGCCTTTGCAGTATTGTTGTATTCTTTCTTTGCTTTTTTAAGATAAACAAATATATTTGTGAGGTGGCAAGTATTTTTGAACATTTGGGTCTTCTCGCTAAATTGCTGGTCACGGTGAGTTGCCAACCGACTTGTATAAAATCTGTAAAAACCACCATGTGATATATTTCTCTTTTAATACATGTTGGGGCACATACATTAACAATTGCAAAATTGGATAGCTTTTTATTATTTTTTATTTACTAGATAAAATACTCTTAAATGAGTATGGAATCTCACATTTTAGTTCAAATAGCTAAATCGTATTTTCTTTTTCGTGAATTTTGGCCCCAAAAAATCAAATTCCTTTCACAATTCTGTTTAGTGAATTAACCCTGTGTGGTTTGCCACACTCTTATAAAGGAAAAGTACAAAAAATATTTCCCCCCCTTTAACTGAGAACATACAGTTATTCTAAACAATAAAAAATAGTTATTTTGACAAAGGTGTAGTAGAAAATATGTTATGAACTGACGTGTTATACCTTTTTGTGTTTTGTTAAACAAAATAATTATTCTCTCAAACAAAATGAAAAACTAATCACCATGGCAGAATTGGAGACACACAAGGAAGATCATGACAAAGTGGTGTCAACACATTAATAGACAAAAGACAATTATTTTTTAAGAGACAGATAATTATTTCTGACATTATTTTAGACACATAATTGAATTTATCCTCTGGATATTTACGTTCCAATTAGTGTTTAGCACAAAAGTGTATCGGGTTTTAAAGTAACTGATTCATTATTTAGTATTTCACTTGAGGATTAAATTTATAACCAATAGGATATCATTAATCTTACTCCTATGTTGTACATTCATGTATCTGATAATTGTTCAGAATAAGTAATCAAACATACTGGTAAAAATACATATACAATTGGACATATTAGGAAGAACCTAGAGAATGCTGCTAGTTGTCTTTTTCATGGGACGTTCTTACCCGATAGACAGCATTGTGACTTCTGACAGACAGGATCACTGAGACTAACAATAAAGACAAATTAGTGTAACAACTGTTAACATAAAAGTGCATTCACTGCAGCAATATGCTAAAAATATTCTATGTATACCTCTTTGACTTCTCCAAATAAAAATTAGAGATATTTATAATTTAACATTTTAATACTCAAGGGTATTTCGTAATTGCATGACTTCTTCGCATTAACCCAACAGTCTCAACCACATTTCTTTCCATGCTTTGTGCCTTCAGATTGTGAGTATTCAGACTGGTAACAATGTTAATGGATTTAATTTTCTTATAATTTTTCCCCTGGCAGTCTGAGTGCTTCTAGTGAAACATACAGCAAAATAACTACAATGAACATAATACATGTATGTCTTTACCTGGTGTGGAGATGTATTTCTAAACCACAAGAGAGTGTTAATGCACCGTTAAAGTGCATGCAGGGCCTCGAAGGCCCCGTAGAGTGCTATTAAACAATGGCTTTTTATAGAAATTGTACTTTACAAGAGTACATTTTCTTACATGAGTTCCTTGTCTTGTGGCCAGTTTATATTTTGTTTTTCAAGCAAAGCATTAGCATTTCAGTGATGGTTTGCATTGATTTTGAGTCTCAGAATGTTCCATAAGGCACTGAAGGAAAAAAAAATCAGTTCTGTCTACTAAAAGTTCTGCACCATCAGCAGTTTGTGTCATTCCTGACACCAAGGAAAGATTTTAACTGGCTCAGGTGGTCAGGATTTAAGAGGAAGCCTTGCTCACAAGTTTTCGTCAGATCTCTTGGTTCTCTTGGTTCTTCATAGTAATGGTCTGTAAAATATATTAATACAGAGTTTTAAGAGATAATGGACAAGTCTGTTTATTCTTATAGCTAGACGATATGATACACCCTTTAATAAAGTAATAAAAACACACAGGGGATATTCATGGATTTACTAACTAAAGATCAAGTTGTTTCAATTCTCACTAATATGCAATTTCAGGTAATCATGGGGAAAAACAGCTATCAGTAAAGGGAAGTCAGTTGCGGAGTCACGTTTTGCAGATGACTCGCAGTCGCACAGTTCAAGTTGTGTAAGACTAGAAAAAATAGTCAGCCTTCTAATCGTCAACTTTTCAGACTGCTAAAAGTTGAACTCGGCCAACGGCTTAGATTATGGATTTTAGATTGAGAACTACAGATCTATATGGCCACAAATAAGATTTTGAGTAGTTTAATCTAACCAAATTGGTGCCTACTAAGCATTACAGTCACCTCACATGCTGCGGTACATTATAGAGTGTTGTTTGTGGAATTACATACTGTACAGCAGGGTTAGACAACCTTCATCACTCCAGATGTTGTGGACGTCATCTTCCATAATGCTCTTAAAGCCATAATGCTGGCAAAGCATCAGGAGATATGTAGTCCACAATAACTGGAGTGCCGAAGATTGGCAACTCCTGCTACATGGTACACCTTTTATAGTACACAATTTAAACTGACACTGCTATATTGATACTTAAATATATAGAATGTCATGCTGTAAATTTCTGATTTTTTTTGGCTCACTTATCCTGTCTTTGGTTCACTAACTGTACATGAGTAAAAACTACATATATAATTGAATGTTTGCTTATTGACACCTATGTTTTCAATTATTAATCTCTAACTCATGCTATACATAATGTTCTACTATAGTGGACAAAAATGTGGCATGTTTTAAATTACATTTCTAATTTTCTACTAATTGTGAGCATTAATCTAAGTCTACATCTTTAGCCTGCAATGTTCTACCTAGTGAAGAAGACATGCATGACATGAAGACAGACATGTGAAAACAACAACATTCTTTTCACCAATATAAAGCAGCTATTGCGTTTGAAGATGTTGCTAAAATTGGGAAGTAAAAATAGAACAGGCTAAAACAAAGCAATGAAATATAATACAATATCTAGCTTGACCATCGTACCCTTAAATTTTAACGCTTTCTGTTCCATAGACATTGTAACCTTCTCTGTACGTAGCATAATTCTGTGTGCTGGTTGCTGGGGGAGGTTTAAAGGTTTGTGCATTCTTTGTGATTTTCATTCTTTTGGATTCTGCTCGTGACTTGTAACAGAATTCTATTAGAGCCACCATCATGGCTAGTCCAAGACCTCCAACAAGTATATAAAACACCCCTGCGACATTACTTAGACTGAGTGCACTTGTCTTGTCCTAAGAAAAATGAACAACTTTGTTAGTTTTACTGGACATTTGGAAAAAGTTAATCATTTGTGCTTACAATTCCCCAATATTATTATTCTCTTTCTTGCAGAGGACAAATCATTCAACTTAATCATTGCAAGCTATGTTTAAACAAAATATAAGTGTAGTTTTTAATTTTTTTATTGGTTGGTTAACTCTTATCTTCCTACTGCATCCTTTATAGCTTGTAATGAAACGTTTCAAAATCTAATTTATGGTTGACTGACAACCAATTAACTACATGCACGTACATGAAAACATTAAAATCACCAAGTGCAGCTATGTCTATCTGAACACTTGAACAGTAGAGATGTCGCGAACCGTCCGCAAACATCTCGCGAATGGTTCGCTGCGGTTCACCACGAGCTGTTCGCGGCGAACTCCAGTCAGCTGACACGTCCCGGCCAATCTCCAGCAGACCCTCCCTCCCAGACCCTCCTACTTCCTGGACAGCATTGAAACATGGATGCTGTCCAGGAAGTAGCAGGGTCTGGGAGGGAGGGTCTGCTGGAGATTGGCCGGGACGTGTCAGCTGACCGGAGTTCGCCGCGAACAGCTCGTGGCGAACCGTGGCGAACCGTTCGCGAGATGTTCGCGGACGGTTCGCGACATCTCTATTGAACAGTAGAAGTCTGATTTTTATTTTTGGTGAATGTAGAGAATATGTATGTATATATACATATATTAATTTCCTACAGTTTTAGGCAATTTGTAGACAGAAGTAAGTATATTGTTATTATGTTTAGCACAAGATACTGTATTTAAAATGTGCATTGGCTTAAAAGTATGACATAGTGTGAAGTTGTTTTATTGCTAAACCAGAGTTGAAGCGATAGTATAACTTCACACGTTCCCATACTTTTAAGACACTAGTTTTAAAGTACTATATTTTTTTTATTAACTGTTCAAATATATAAAATCTTAATTTAGCTTTTTCTAAAAGAAAAATGCTGGCTGCAATAATTCTTTGTACGTTAAAGGAAAATACATATATAAGTGTGTTGCTACATCTATCTCAATATGTAGAATTATAAAATATAGAAAAAAAATTTGAAAAATATCAACTATGAGTATACAGCTAATGATGTGTTTCAGAGAAAAAAAATATCACTTCTCTGTCAAATTTTTTATCAAGCCAGTTCCCATTAACAACTAATGGTTTAGGATAGAGGTCTTTAAATCTACTTTTAACAACCACCAATAGGCCTTGATTTGACGACATCCTACTGCAGTTACTCCTGGCATTTCAGTTAATAGGGGCCTTTGATTTGATGGAGTATGCTATAGTAGGTATATTATGAACATCTGGCTTGTTAGGTGGTTCTGAGGATAGATTTAAAGATGAAGTGGTATAAGGCTTGTTTGAAGATAAATGGATATCTCTGGAGTCCTGAACTTATAGTTGTCCTTAAGAAGTGGAGAGAGAACCACTGCATTCAATTATCATTTTGGATTTCTGCCATGTTTTATTTACAATAAATACTCCCAAAATGTAGTGAACAACTATACAGCAGTGAAATAAGTGAATGCACAAGAAATATGAATGTAGAATGGCGTGATCTAATCAACACTCTAATATATAAATAAAAGAAAAAAAGAAAAAGAGAGTAATATCTTCTATTTCAAAAAAATGATTTCGATGCTATGTGTACATTATGTGCGTTTTAAAAACGGGCCTGATTAATATTTTAAAGCATCTATGCTGGTTAAATAAAAATTTAATTTATTGTCAAGCAGCTGGCTGAAACATTGCTGTGAAAACTAGAAAAGAAAAAAAGGGGCATATTCTTTTTATTTATTATTTAAATGTGCATAGGGATTTGAGATAGTGCGCAGGTAACTTTTTTTTTTTGCATTTATTCTCTATATATTTGGCTGATGAATACTGCAGCCATTGCTGCTGCCATTGTGTAGTGGGAGTTTAATAGTATGGCTTTATTTTGTGTGTTTGTATCTGCTTCTGTATTAAACAGCCATGTTACCGTGCTGCCGCCCACTCCTTGTGTAAATAGAACAATAGATTTGAATAAACAGTAGTCTAATACAAAATCAGTAATTAAAAAAATTATCTGAAATGTAAGGCCTAGAGTATTGTCACTTGGTGCTATTATTTCTCGTAGAAAAAATGCACTTTAATAAAAAATAAAATCAAATAGAAAAAAACAACAACAAAAACTTGTGTGTATGAAAGTGAGTAAAAATGGGACTTCTAATCAATTCAAAAGACCTTCTGCGACTGACCTTACTTCCGGAGTCCTTGGCTCCACATTCACCCTTATCGTACCACCATTTGTTTTTCAGCTTGTCTAAGATGCCTTGTTCACTGAGTTTCAATACTGCAAGGTTTACAGGAGTTCTTCACGTGGGAAATAACATAAATAACATTATATTATGTTATTTTATGTTATTCAATCTTAATACTACTTTCAAACTATACAAAGCGATAAAGCAGGGATCCTGGACACAAAGATCTTGAACTGCAGGCAACCTGTATATCACTTTAGTTTTAACACTATAAGTGATGCTAAATTACCAGGTCCTGCCTATATCGCTTTGAGTAATCAGCACACACTGTTAAAGGAATAACAAAAAGGTATGCCAGGTTTGGAATGCCTGACTCATCTGAAATGCTACAGTAGCTGTGCTAGACTCATGGTAAAGGTCACAATTTCTTGAATACCAGTTTCACTAAGAATCACTTCTGAGGATTCTCTGACCGTCTATACTGTCCATAGATATGCCGTAAGCATTCTAAGCTTCATGATATCTATGCTTTATATAGCTGTGATTCCTCTATCTATAGCCTCCATTCATTTTTTTGATCAAAAATTTCAGGTATAATACCCACTATATTGATGTCCTTTGGGGCATCTTATTATGTTATATAGAAATTGGGATTATCTGTATATATTTAGATCTCTATACTGTAGAGGCTCTACATGTAGTGGTAGGAATTTGATTCACTCATCTATTTTCCCTGGTTTGATGGAATCTGATTTAATTATATAAATGCTGTAGTGACACATTGAGCCAGATACATTAAAGCTCTTAGTAGTCACATACAGTTACTTTTTCCATAGAATACGATAGATGATCATCATCCAGGGTTTTTAACCTTCTAATCACCTTGTTATTAGGGATTACTAGCTCTCTCATATTATATGTATTTATAGATTTTCTCCTGACTACTTTATCATTTCCAGGCAAACTTAGGTCATTTCATCTGTTTTGCAACAGGTGTGTGCCCTGGTTTTTTCTCTCTTTTTTCCTAGTATCATGGGGTTAAGCCCCTGGAGACCCCTGGATTCTCCATATTGGTTTTAGCGAAGGCTTGTCCCCAATGAGAGCGCCAATTTTTTGAGAGGCGTTACGCGGTGGAGACTCACCTTCCTTTGTTTATATTCATTACTGCGTAGAGTCATTATAGACCCATGTGCTAATAACTGACAATAACCGGAGAGCAGAAGAGCCACCCTACAGAGAGACCCCTGCTTTCCAGCACAGAAACTACAGGGAATGAGCATTAAAGCTGTCCTTAGCAGACATTAAATTCATTTTAAATCCCATAATTATTTTTTTCTTAAACTTTATCCTGATAGCTTCTGAGTCAAATTTTAACAATATGTTTTCATAAGTATTTAATTGTTATATTGAGAATTTGCCACACTGGTCGATGACCTTCTAGCGTACTATAGTGCAATATATTAGAATGTTAATGCTACCTTCTATGCTCCCTCCATCTAAATTGCTACCTTTTTGTAGGTTCCTGAGCAGAGATACATCATGTCGTTACCATGTAAAAATAGCCTTTTCCATCCATCTCTTCTATGTAGTGTTTCTCTGAAAACATCACACATGCTATTTGGAATCAAAGATTACTGGGGCTTGTAGTACAGCTAACAGTTATAATATGTAGAAAGCTTATAATTGTACTAAAAGTCCTAAAAGTTTCTGCTTGTGGCAAAACTAAGGTTCTGAAGAGAAAGCTTTGGAATCTGCTAGTCAGTCCCTCACTACTGACAGTGTACAGATACATAGGCAGTTTGGCAAACTTACCTTTAAGTTATATTTTAACTTGGTGATTATCATGGTTGTTATCTCGGTGAATAGAATTAAACAGCTAGTGCCTGGTCTGTACTTTAATCTGTTCAGCAGTGCTGGGTTATATAAACATGCCCAAACTTTCAGAATGAGGCATTTTAATTGACCATGCTACTTCTTGGCGAGAACAAAATACCTGGCTTGTGATCAGAAGTGTGGGGAATCCTTGTAAAAGCAGCAGCATTGATTAGTCACTTTCAATCTGCTACGAAAAGCCACTGAATGTTTTCCTGGTTGGATTTTTGCAAATAATAAAAACACTGTACTAATCGTCAACATATTTTTGTTGATATAGGGTATAAATTAGTCTAAAATCTAAAACATCTGCAGAAACATATTATTAAATGAGTATTTTATTTTTTACCAGACAGGAGAGGTCACTGACTATATATTTAAATATCAAGAAAGAATAAAAGACTAATATAATTTAAATAAAGCAAACATTTTTTTTTTTGCAAAAATGAATTCTGCTCACACAAAATAAAATTGCCCTTGGTTGTGTCCCTTTAACGCTGTCAGTAGTGTGTTGTGAATGTGGTGCTTAGAATGTTAAGTCGCAGAAAGGAATAAACTTGTTCCCTATCTATTGCTAGCTTAATGTCAAAGTATGTTATTTCCTTCACCTGAGCCCACAACTGAAAGATTTAAATAAGACGAGCTTCTTCAATAAACCTTACAGTAATAGCATTTTACCAGATGTCACAACACATTATCTTCATCCTATATGTTATATTTTTAGAGCAAAAGTAAGCCTCAAATATGTGGTCTCTATTTACTCACATTACACTTTAAGTAAGCATTAGCCCTTGAAAGCTTTGTTTCTGAGTGGAACGGGTATTCAGAGATAGAGACCAACCATTCAGTGATTTACTTTTGAAAAGCTACTGTGATAAAAATGGAGACATTGCTCCAATATATGTGCGCTAACATTTGGTTCTCTTAGTTACTGAAATAACAGTCTTGCTGATTACTCTTGACTAAGGTACCCGATTGTGGTGACATTGAGGCTGACCTTGGAGTCACCTCCCCCGCTGCCGCATTCTCCTTTGTCGTACCACCATTTGTTTTTCAATTTGTCCAAGAGTCCTTGCTCATTCAGTTTTAATACTGCCAGGTTAACAGCATTTCTTGAAACGATAAAACATAACTTGTAAGAAAATGTACAGAACGCTTAAGAATAGAGTTGTGCGAATATTTTTTTAAATCTGCTTTTGCAAAACCATCTTGTTCTCAAATGTGCCTTATTGAGAATGTTTTTTTACATAGTAGTCATCACTTTAGATAAGCACAAAATTCTACTTCAGTGCAATATTTTCACCAGATAATGGATTTATTTGTGTTCCCACAATGCAATTCGTTCCCATTATTAAATGGGCAGGACTATTAACTAAATATATTTTGAGAACAATTTATTTTTCCTTTAAAAAATGTTTTGTTTCTTGCATTTCTTTATAATAGTCTGCATATTATTAAACGGTGCTTGAATTTCATGAAATTCAGCGAAAATCGCACATCTCTATTTACTATATTATATTTTATAAGAAAGGAGCACAAGAGGACAAATTGTCTAGAATTTCACCAACATGAAGGTCTAAATTATCGAAAGCAAGTATTTGCTTAAGTACAGGTGGCTTGCATCTGAGGGGGGGTATTGGTCATAACTGATGTGTGTAGGAGTGAGACATTAAGCAATCTTTAAGGAGAGAATTAAACAGAGACACCACATCATGCAATTAACATTCAGCTCATATGGCAATTAAACTTGGCTTTTACCATTTAGATTGAAAAAGCCACTGGACTGTAAAATTAAAATGGCAACAAACAGTCAGAGAGGACAACACACAGAGAAAAAGGTAAAAGGAAAAAAAAAATAGATGCATTAAGGAAATGGATAATTTACCCTCCTGTCATGTTAAAAGTGTAAACAATGTTACCTCAAACATCCACAAGAAAGTAAAGAATAAAAAAACACAACACATCAGGGAAGGTGGAATACTATAACAACACAGATATTGTTATATTATTCCACCCACCTTAATGCTGAGCCTTTTGGAGTAGCCACGCCATAGCCTTTGGAGTCCAGGTTTCCTCCCACTTTCATGGTGTCACACGGTTTTCTCTGCTCAATGTATTCATTCATGGTTGATTCCAGCAGGAAGGCAAATTTTCCTTTCGATTTCCGAACACGGGCAACGCCATCATCAGTTGTTTTGGTAAATACAGAAGGCTCTGCTGATTTCATGTACGACCACATTTTTTCGTAAACCGCTATTTTTGATCGCTGCAAGTATGAAGAATAAAAAAGGTTAGTTTTTCACAGGGACTCAACATTATGTTCAAAGACAAGACACAAACAAGTGAATTATTTGTAATTATGGAAAGTGCTTTTATTTTGCTTTTACTATCAGAAAAACATTGTACCAGTAAAAATTTAATATGCACATAAACATATTTCTATCTACAAAAATATTGTGTTTAAAGAGTACGTGACATGGTGCATAAAATGACAGTAAACTCATGTACATATTTTGCTAGAAGAATTGCTAGGAAACATATAGGTTGTTTTATAACCCCCTCTCATCACCTGTTACTCAATGTTTGGCATGGATTTTTTTGCTAATGGTATTGCAATCTAGGCCGACAATAGGTGAAAGCAGGCAAACCCTCCTACAGTTTGCTCTCCTGCTCCCTAAAGATATTCCCTAAGCAAGCACATGGATATACGTATGGAATGGATGATGTCACTCCAATTTGATGCCATTATGTTGGCAATGAAGCTAAAATGGTAATTTAATGGCAGAGGAATGCCCTGTGTGGTTAAGAGTTCCTAAGCAGGGCCAATTACACCAGATAGTTGTGGGAGCAAGGTTCTACTGCAAGTAGAGTATTACAGTAGTATGACACCATGTCAAGGTACCTGCAAATACCCTTCCTACCTGGCAACTACTGTCTGTGCCCCTATATAGTGCTTCATGCCCACATAATTAAGGCATAATTATTGTGATACTGTATGATATTGATGATATCACAATTTTAACACTAGTCAATTATGGTTTTGTGCTGCGTTTAAGTACTGAACATCATCAGACGTTGCCCTATTATGGTTCGCTAACAGGGGTAAAAGAGTGTGTTATCTTTTAATTGGTCTAATTGTATTTTGACCAAGCCAGTCCTCAGTTATCCTGTTTTCTGTATTCCTTGACCATTGTTTGTTTCTCTTTTCATGCTACTCTCTAACTCATTGACCTTGGCTCATTTGTGATTACTCTCTGCCTACTAACAGGCTGTTTTTCCTGTCTAGGAACTACATTCAGCATGATCACACTGAGGACTGGTAATAAGCAACTGTCCTGTCTATTCTCTTCACTTGTTAGGGCTGACCTAAGTTCTGTGTCTCAGTCATGCATATTTCTGTCAAACCCATAGACCTCTGATGGTGGCAGAGCTAGCATACTGGAGAGAGGTACACACAGAGCCAGTCCTATAGAAATAAATCCATTGGATTCTGGACTTGGAGGGAAACTGCATCTTGAAAAAGCTAAAATATTTATTGGAAATGGTAAACTTTTTGTACGGTGGTTTCACAGCATGATGCTTGAATCAGGGTTTCTTTTATACCTAACTATCAGAATTCTCAGAACACATACTTAAAGGACCACTCTAGGCACCCAGACCACTTCAGCTTAATAAAGTGGTCTGGGTGCCAGGTCCTTCTAGGGTTAACCCATTATTTTATAAACATAGCAGTTTCAGAGAAACTACTATGTTTATGAATGGGTTAAGTCTTCCCCCAAAGCCTCTAGCGGCTGTCTCATTGACAGCCGCTAGAGGTGCTTGCGTGATTCTCACTGTGATTTTCACAGTGAGAGCACGCAAGCGTCCATAGGAAAGCATTATAAATGCTTTCCTATGCGACCGGCTGAATGTGCGCGCAGCTCTTGCCGCGTGTGCGCATTCAGCCGACGGGGAGGAACGGAGGCGGAGAGGAGGAGGAGAGCTCCCCGCCCAGCGCTGGAAAAAGGTAAGTTTTTACCCCCTTCCAGAGCCGGGCGGGAGGGGGACCCTGAGGGTGGGGGCACCCTCAGGGCACTATAGTGCCAGGAAAACGAGTATGTTTTCCTGGCACTATAGTGGTCCTTTAACACAATTTCATATCATTCCTGTAAAACTAGGGTTTCACATAATATTTATAAACAAGCAGCAATTGTAAGATGCTTCCTAAGCTTTGCGTACCCAAAATCAACCATTTGTAGAAGTCCAACATTGCCTATCAAATGCCATTAATTACTGACATAGCACTAGTTGTAGCCCTAAAACATGAAACATGGAAAGTCATGTTCACTACACTTTTTTTGACACTGGAGGTCCGTGGGCACGTCCATTGTTAAATAAGTGTGATTTACTCAGTGTAAATCGTGAAAGCGCCTCTAGTGGCTGTCAGGGAGACAGCCACTAGAGGCTGGATTAACCCTGCAGTGTGAATATAGCAGTTTCTCTGAAACTGCTATGTTTTCAGCTGCAGGGTTAAAACTAAGGCACGTGGCACCCAGACCACTTCATTGAGCTGAAGTTGTCTGGGTGCCTATAGTGGTCCTTCAATGTGGCGGAATGTTCCTCCAAGATGGTCTTGAAAACTAGGATAATAAACCCAAGGTGATTTAATAAAAGCATAATTTGCGTATTGTAGTAATTTGCCATAATGGATCAGTATTCCTTAGTATTCCCTAAATAATGGTAAACTATGTTGTTTGTAGGATTCTATGGACTTTAACAAGCTTTGGCAGCTAGGCTTCATTTAATTGATTTGTTTCTTGATATACTTTGTGAGATAATTCAAGTCAACCACTTTGCTTTGCAAACATCCAGTTACAACACAGCATCCATGGCAGTGAGCCAATCACACATCACTTCAAATACATTTGGTTTAGTATCTCCCAGAAACAGCACACAAAGCTGATTATGCATATGTTGGTTTTACAGAGTACAGTCAAAATCTCTAAATAGAAACGTACTGTCTGTTAAAAATAAAGTAATCCTTCCAAACACATGAGTAGGTTATCCTCTTCCTAAACAAATGAGAGACAAATGCATTCCTGTTATTTTAAGGACTGAAAAACTATATATAAACTATACATTTCCAAAAAGTGAAAAATTCTGATGGGAAATTAAAATTTATATACTCTTTGAGATATCTACTTGAGGCAGGATAATGTCATTATTTTCTGATTGTTATATTTTTGTCTGGTCTTATAGTGTTTGGTGGGTGATTATAAACTTTTGAATGTAGTTTTTATTTTCCCCTAATAGGAATTTTGTTATTTAAACAAGAAGGGGAAAGGTCACATGCTCATCTTATTGGACATTTCTTACTGAGGTTCCTGTAGCACAGAGGTCACACGCTCATTCTAATTGATTATTGTTAATGAGCTTCCCCTGTGATAGAACTCAAGTGCTCATCAATTAAATATTTGTTACTGAGCTTCTACTAACACCAGAGGTTGCATGCTCATAAAAGTTTAGGATAAGTTCCTGAGCTTCATCTATCAGAGGTTTGATGGTCAGCGAATTGGTAGTTGTTACTGAGTCACCTATATCATAGGTCATCCGCTCATTAAGTTTAGTTCCAGCATTCCTCAACCTGGTATTTGTCACTTTTTTAAGTCAATATTTGTTGTAGAACTTATACGAAGGTGCCTTCACACTATTCAGAATTTTTTTTTACTGGTATGCCTCTCTCTCAGGTCACACACTCATTATAGTTGTGCTTGTCACACAGCAACTTCTCACAGAGACAATCACTCTCGTCAAGCTGGGATTTTTTTACTGAATGTCCTCCATAACAATGATTAACCGCTCACCAATACTTACTGGTACATGGTCATGGTACTTCCGCTAATCACCAAATTCACATACTCATCAATTGAAAAAAGTTAATAGAAGAAGACAGAAATCCAATTTACTATTGTGGTCTAGTATTACCTCTATAGGTCTTACCATTCTTGAATTAAAAAATGAATTCCTTCACTTATCTCAACAGGTTTTGCTCTATCTCAAAATTCTGAAACACATGCTGCAGTTATTGTAAAATGCTATGGCCAAGCTAGTAAACAAACATGATCTTGTCATGTGAGATCAGAATGTACTGACTGTAAAATGCAGATTAGGCTACAAAATTGGCCTGCTGACTATTACACCTACGCACACGTCTCCAGATTACCAGGTACTTAAAGGAGATCATGGTTTCCTACATTCCTACTCTCTACATTTACTAAGTAAGATTATTTAAAAGTTATTAAAATGTAATGCTTGAACTATTAGCTGTGAAGTTTAAACCTTTGTCTCCATAGCAACCTCAATAAAATGCATCAGTGGGAATAATTGACTTAGTAGACTGTTTACTGAATTGCAAACCTGCTTTAGTGAATTTCACCTCAATCATTTTCAAATTGGCTAATAAAATTCTTCTTAGGTTCACTATCTGCAAGTAAAGTGAGACCACACAGAGCACATCAGGCCTTGTTTTCAAATTTGTTTGAAAATACATCCAACACAACAGCATCTGAATGCTAATCAAATGACAGCTGAATGTCCCTCCTATAATAAATAAAGATGCTGCTCAGGGAAACATAGGCATGTTGGGATTTTGGCCAGTAATATCATTACTAGGTGTGGGAGTGATGGCATTGCTTAATGTGTAGGAAAATGCGGGGCTAAGTGCAATGGGGGTGAGAGGTAAAAGTCCAATAGATTTCTATTTTTCATTTTTCTGAGCCTGTTTGGTCATTTGTGCGCCATCTATAGAGATTATGGTGATCTTAAATAACCATATTTGCCCTTTGTGAATAGCAGCAAACCTTCTATTGAAATAACAGAATTTGGACAAGTGAATGCTGCCCATTTGTTGTTTAGTGGATGTAACTGTTAAACATCTAATTAAATAGCTATTAAATAACCATCTTAACTTATACTTTGACTTTAAAAAAACTAAGATATATATATATATGGTCCCACGATTTTGGCTGTGTTTAGGTGGTACCTCTGGCTTCTAGTTAACATTTTCTGATATTAGTATAAAATAAAGTATAAGTGGATATGTTTGAGTAGAACAGCAGAAGTAGCAAAATGAAAAATCCTGCTATTTACTAAATTTTCCAATACTGTAGCAGAAAGGCTGGCTCTACAACCTCCCTATTGTATTTTAAAGAAAAAAGATGGTAGCTAGAATATAAAGCTATGGTCGTTTTAGTTTACAAATTCTTATACTCTGTCTACTACTGGTTAACAGTC